AGAGAGAGAGAGAGAGAGAGGGAGAGGGAGAGGGAGAGAGAGAGAGAGAGAAAGAAAGAGAAAGAGAAAGAGAAAAGAGAGAGAGAGGTTGGGAGAGATTGGGAAAGAATGGGAAAGATTGGGAGACAGTGACAGAGGTGTGTGTGTGGGAGGCATTTGACCAGTTATATGAACACTCCAACTTCCAATGGTTTCCTTCTTGATCTTGGGAGAATTCATTTCTCGTTTCCTGTTCAGGGGGCATCCCCATGCACTGGGTCTAATTTGCAGACTGTGTTAGGGAGGATAAAGAATCCCTTCTGAGAAATCATTTTTCCTCCTGGCTCACTCGTACTAAAGCATAACCCAGCAGCTTAACGGACCAATTAATTACACTCTGCTGTGATGTGTTTGCCAGTTCCTGTGACTTCCCCTTCTCTCCTCCCCTCCCTGCTCCACTCCATTTTCCCCAGGATAAAAAAGAAATAAATGTCTGGGTGGGGGGCGGGGATTCCATGCCGTGGCCCAAGTCTCTTCTCTCCCTGTCTTCTTCCTCTTTCCCCAAGTTTTTGTTTCCCTGTGCTTCCCAGAAAGACTTGGGGCAAAATAGAAAGACATCCATGACTTGAATCTCCTGAGGGCATCGGGATAAAAATATAGGTGGAGGAAATCAGTAGACTCTTCCCTTAGGAAGGAGGACTCAGAATAAATCTGCTGCTGCCTCGTAAACATCCCCTGATAAAAATGGCTACAGGTGTTACCCAGGCACAGCAGATGGGCGCTGCCTTGACATCAGCCAGGGTGGGGAGAGCACCACTCTCTGGGATGGGATGACGGGGATTCCCTAGTGGGTCTCAGAGAGCCTGCATCCCCAGCTCAGCCCCAGTTCTCCCCTCCTACTCCAACTCCTTCTCCTCAGGATAAATAAAGATGTGTGTGTGTGTGTGTGTGTGTGTGTGTGTGTGTACGCCCGGATGGAGAACAGCAGTCACTGGCTTTAGGGGGGCGCTGGCCCCATGGCTCCAGCCTCTCAATCCAGTCCCAAGACGGAGGAGGGGGCTCCTCCCAGAGGGAATAGAGATTGAGGAAGGTGGGTTTCTATGGATGCTCTGTTTGTGGGGCGTGGGTGGGGGGCTCCTGCTGTGGACCCGAAGGCATGGAGACTTGGAGAATCAGTGTGTGTGTGTATGCATGCGCGCGCGCGCACACACACACACACGCACGCACTTGTGCGTGTGCCTGCTTGTTGCCTGGATTTCTCTATTTATTTGTCATTTTGGGCAGGGGGTGGCTGGGCTGGCTGGCGGGTAGCTGGGAGGGGTTCAGCTGTTGGAGGCTTCAAATAGAGCTTGTTTCAGGCAGGGCACAGCTGCTGTGAGACTGTCACATTCCTTGTTGAAATCCAGTCGCAAAAACCTAGGAGGTGCTGATCGGATTTCCCCCTTCCCCACATCTCGCTTTAAGCAGCGATGAGCACACTTGCCCGGGTGGGGCAGACCTGTCAGACAACCTGAATAGCCAGTACGAAGACTTCCAGGTAGAGGGTCTCCTGGGGCCTAGCTGTTCTGCAGGGGCCGCCCCAGCCCAGGGCAGCCCTTGGAAGCTGCCTTAGTCTAAATAGCTCAAAGATGATCCCCTCTGAGGCAGCAGCGAGCAGAAGCGAGTGGGGTTTCCCCTGGAAGCGTGGCTCACTTAGTCATTGCCTGTAACGAGCTTTTGAGCTGGCGGCGGCAGCAGGTCCCTCTGCTTGCTGCTTCTCCCAACCACCTCTCTCCCGCTGGGCGCTCTGCTCTGTGAGGAGGGGTCGGCAGCCGCCCCGGGTGCAGACTTGGCTCCCTCCAGCCATCCCTTGGGGTTAAGAGTCCTTGCGGCAGGGGATCCATACAGGCTTAAGTATTTGGGGTGAGGAGACGGGGCAACACCAGCATCTCCTGTGTCAGTGGAAGCACCTAGGAAACCAGTTCTTTCCAGAGACAGCAGTTGTGCAGTTCCTGGTGTGGGATCCGTGCTCATTTGTCTGAGTGCCAGGAGAGGGAGGCCACTGGGCGGGAAGGAGCTGGCTTCCCTCCCTGGGGCAGGTGCCACTCTGATAGAGCACGAAGGGAAAGGGGCTTTCCCAGCGGTGGGGAAGACAGACTGTAGGTGAATGAAGGAAGGGGTGACTTGAGCTGGGATTTCCCCAGCAGCCTCTTTGGTTGGAGGTGGCACAGAGCAGGCAGCTCCTGAGAAGGTCCTGCTTGCCTCACTGGTGAAATGACCACTTCCTATAACCTTAGGGCTGGAATGGAGACAGGCAGGGCTCACTTTAACCTGCTCACCCAGTCACCTGCCTGTCCGTCCATCTGCATCCTCATGTTTTGAGCCATCTAATAGAATACGCATTTTCTGAGTATCTTCTCTGTGCCAGGCCTGTGGACACAAGGGGAGGGAAGGAGGGCTGGTACTCACGTCTTCCCTGGAGGCAAATGGGGTCCTGTCAAGGCATAGCACTTTAGTTAGAGTCCCTGCTCTGCCACTTCCAGTCGTGTGATCTTGGATAAGTCATACAGCTCTGCCAGCCTGTTTCTCAGCTGTCAAGTGGAGAAACTAGATTAGACGGGTGAGTGTAAGGCTCCCTATATGGTGTCTGCTCAAAAGGGGTATATGGGACCGTTACTGATGATGGTGGTGCTGAGAGGAAGAGAGATGATTTTTTATCCCCTGTGGTCTAACTCTGGCTCTAGAATCAGTCAGGAACTGGGACCTGTCAATGGAAAAGTCCTGGGACGTGACTAGTTTGGCTAGATACCTCCTGAAACATGGGTCTGTGCGGTGGGAGGTGAGTGCCTATCCCCCAGCTTCAAGGAGAAAACGGGCTGGGGAGAAGAGTTTGGGTTAGAATGAAGAACCACTACAGGAGAGTCACAGATACTCAGGTGACCCTGGGCAGGAACAATGACACTCTTGCTGGAGAGCTTGTGAGTCTGACTGGCTTCACAGACCAGTCTAAAGGCAGGAGGAGGCACAGGGTGACGCAGGTACCGCAGTCAGTGTGGCAATTCTGTATCTCTGGTGGCAGCCTCTACTCAAAGGCCCTTGCCCCTTTTTTCCTCGAATGATTAAAGATGTGCTAGCTGTATGCCTGGGCTGCTGCTTTCTGAAGCTCTCTGCTTTTCTTTCACGGGGTTGTGGCCTTTCTGTTTGCCTATCTTTGGCTGGTGTATGTTGTTGGGGAAGGAATTCATCACGCAGGCTCGGATCTCTTGAAAAGGAACATGGCATGTACCCTGAGCGTGTTCAAAGTTGATGCAAAAGGAAGCCAGTGTGAGGAGGTTGAGAAATCAGGACAGAATGATCCCCGCTCCCACCCTCACAGGCTGTAGGCGATGACACTGGCAGCTGAGTGCTGGGACATATCAGCGAGAGCAGGGAGGTGGGGCTTGTTCCCAGGCAGCTCAGACAGGAGGCGAACTCTTCCCTAGGCAGAGAGGTGCCGAGACACCCTAATGTGTTCTTAAAAGTACTGGGCTGCCCCTCAATTGAATGAGGAGGCACCCTTTTTATTGTAACAGGTGGAATTACTCTCTCTCAAGCATCAGACACTACGACAGGGCCCAATCTACAGATGCTGTTGAATCTTTGTGGTCTCTGCCTACAAACGCCCCTCTCTTGAGATTAAAGCAATGAGAATCTAGGAAATCTTTCTTCTTATTTTCTTCTAGAGCTGGTTTGGGGCATATGACCCCTTGCCTTAAGCTGCCTGCCATTCTCTGTCCTCTGGATCCAGAGAGGTAGGGGTGGGCCTGTCCTGTCCTTCCTTCTTTCCTTGTCGGCCCAAGGATTCCCCACCCCTCCCTGCCATCTTGTTGGTAGCTGAGCTGGTTCCTCTGTCCCACTGGTCAGTCACCATGGGTCTTATTTCTCTACAGCCACAGGCCCCATTTAGGCCGTGGGCTTGTCTCCCGGGAGGCTGGGGCGTGCTGGTACAGCAGGGAGGCTCTGTTTCAAGCTCAAACCAGCCGCAGCCTTACCGATCCCCGGCTCACCTCATGCCTCCCCTATCTTTTTGTCCCCACCAGCTTTTTGTCCCTCTGCTCCTCCCTGCTGCCCGGGCCTGGCCTGATGCTGGAGTGACCCAGTCTGCAGATGGAGGAACCTGCATGATGGTGTTTCCTCAGGCTGCTCTGCCTACTCCCCCGAGGAGCTTCTTTCTCCTTGCTAGTTGCCCTTTCTTCTTCAGAGCATTAGTAGGGGAGCAGGTTTCTCTGCATTCACAGAGGAGCTTGGCTCTGGTTCTACTATCTTCAAAGACAATGATGTCCCCTAGAACAGTGCCAACATCGTGCCCGTCTCTTTGCAGAGGTCAGTGAGTTCAATGCCCAGCCTCCAGCTGGAGTGATGGATAGCATCCCAGTTTTTTATTTTTATTTTTTGGTGCTGGGGATTGAACCTAGTGCAGTGCATGCTAAGCATGTGGTCTACTTCTGAGCTATATTCCCAGCTCCTCCCAGTTCTGGCAGGGTGGGCCTATCAGCAGAGGGGCAGAAGTGGCAGCTTGGCTCTGCACTTTCTGCTTGGGCTCAGGTGCCACCTGCATAGAGGTAGATGGCTATTAGAGCATATCCTCATGTTTTTGGGAAGATCCCTTGGGGTGCCATGGTTTCAGGCATGTTTGGAAAGCCAGATAAGCTTGACCCCTTCCTACAGACCCTCTTGGGGTTGACCTTCGAGGCTGCAGAAGGCAGGCAGCTCTGAGTGATCTGGCTATAGCAGGCATCCGAGAGCCAGCTGCTAAGGGCCCCAGGCCCTTGTTTAATTGTCGCAGGTCATTCTGAGTGTTTTCGC